AAAAGCAAATCTACATGAATATAAATAGGACTTTCCATATCACTAAATCCAAAGAATATCACAATAGGAGGAAAAAATTAACTGGTAAGGCATTTGTTTATCTTTAATTTGGGAAAATTTTATTACTTACATTGGAAAGAATAAAAGCTAATACTCTCATTCACAATAATGTCTAATTTATTATGTTAAGTGGATAGTTTCTTTATGCTGCCTTTTAAATTAAAAGAATAAATTTTATAGTAAATGATGTCTAAAATCTAATCTCATACCAAATTTTCAATGCAGTGCTTGATAAAATATTAACTACAATTCTCATACTGTACATAGAACGGCTGAATAATCATCCTATATGTTCTGTAAGTTGCTTGGGGATTTTTGTTTTGTTTTATTTTGTTTTGTTGTTCTTGTTTTTTGGGTGTTTTGATTTTGCTTGTTTTTCGGCTTTTGGTTTTTGGTTTGGTTTAGTTTGGTTTGATTTTTGGTGCCAGGGATTGAACACAGGACTGCACACATTCTAGGCAACTCCTCTGCCATTGAGCTATATCCTTGGTTCCAATAAGCTAAACCATATGTCCTCTGCCTATATCTCCCCATCCCCTAGACTACACTCTCCACCCCCGGTAGCCACCTTTCCACTGTCTCTTTCTGCATAGTTGACTTTTTTATTCTTTTTAGATTTCAAATATATGTGAGAGGACAAATATGTTAACTGGTTAGATGGTATTAACAATTCCACTACCTATAAACATTTCACGATATACTGGTGTATACCACAAATATATTTTAAAAACTTAAATGAAAAGAAAAAAAAAATGGTGGTGTGAGTTTTCTAAAGTATTTGGGAGAAAAAAAAAAAAGTCTTCCTCTAAGCCTTCCTACTGGTTACCTATCATGTAGTGAGAAGTTCTAGAGTTGAAGATGATTCTGCTCATTTGGTGAACACTTATGGACCCCGTGTGTACTAGGAGGTAGGATAGGACAATAACTGGTGCAGGCTCTGGTTGCTGGCTCAGTCTTGTTCAGGGCACAGTTTCCTTCTGAGTTCCACAGGAAGGTCCCTAATGCATTCTTCCAAAGGCTGAGAGATGGGCTCCCTGGTACTGTGTTTGTCTGACCTCCTGTCATCCTCTTCTTAGACACTTCCAAAGGGCCATAATTCCCTCTTGCAAATGATAGCATTTCAAATCCATGAATACTCAAATCAGGCTACCTTAAGATATCTCTTCTCCAGGCCACACCTCCAATGCCCTTAACTGTATATAGTTGGACAAGACTCACAGTCCTTTCGCCATTCTCACTGCCAAGTTCATCAATAATCCCATAAAAACGCAGTGCTCAGAGCTGGTCACAAATTTCCAAATTTGATCTGATGATAGGGCTGTGTTGTAGCTAACATGTTATTTGATCTGGAAACTCTATGAATGGAATCCAAGCTTGTATTTTTCTTTTCATTTATTAAATGTGGAGCACATCACAAATTTTTGCATCATGTTTGCACAGTAGCCATGCCAACCTTCTCTGTATCTTTCCATGTTAGTACACGTGCTGCCAAAGTGACCACTATCAATTTCTTATGGATATGACTCATTCTTGGTGCCTTTTTGGCTTGTGATCTTCTATGATTACCAAACTATTTTTACATAAAACTAACAACAATTCTCTTTACAAATAATTTCAGAACTTAGCAGTAGTTGTTTTTAAAACCACAGTATAAGATTTTCCTTTTGATCAAGGGTTTTAATCCAGCCCAATTCTACCATCAACAATAGCAGCCAAATCTTCCAACTTAACATCACCATAGACTGGATAATTACACTGCTATTTATCTTCATTTGCCAGCTAGGATATGGTCTAAAACAAGAGGATCCTTGAGTCCTGAGACTACAGACTTTCCTTCACATTGATATTGATATATCACTCAATGTTTCTTAAAGCTACAAATTCAAAGAGTTACAAATTCCCTTGACTTCACTGTTATCAACCCTAAAATTCTCTATCATGAAAGACTTTGTTAAATCAGTACATAATGTTTTTGTGTCATCCTCCTGAAACCTCAATAGTTAATTATTAAAAGAGGAACTGATAAGGAAATAGTAGTTCGATTTGACAACATCTCAGAGAAATTTTATAACATTCTATGAATACAATTTAGTGATGATTGATGAGATCAGAACACACCCCTTCAGCCCTGCTAAGTAATAACATGAAATGATATGTTCATTGGTAAAAGGATACTGAAGTACTCACCAGCATGCTGACTTCAATGTCCTAGTTCCAACTGTGGTCAAAAAGTAATTTCTCCAGTTTTCTCTTTTATTTTAAAAAATATCCTGTCTTCAGTCCAATTAGCACATATGAAGCAAACATGTTACTTCATAGCCTCCAGATTTTACCTTCAGCCCTGACTTAAATTCTGACTCTACTCATCAAATTCAAGTGGATATTGACTATGAGTTTACTTCCATTCAAAAGAAAGGAAATAATAACCATGACATGTAAGGTACAGCCAAGGTTGAGAGGAGTAACTTACCTTATGACTGAGTTTGGGATAAGCATAGGGTGCAGGTGGCTCTTCTCATCTCTTTCCCCTTCATTTCAGAAGCCAACCTGTGTGCAGAGAGCAGAAACTCTCAATTGCTACTTCAATGGGCAGAGGAGATGTGGCTGAGCATATCTAGGTGGGTGGTCTGTAATCTGGGAGGTCAGTATGGGGAAATCTTACTTATAAGTTGCATCTTCAGTGTAATAGCAACAAGTAGTAAGGTAGAATATTTCAATCTCCAACTGCCAACTCTTTTGTCTATGTTTTGATTGATTAAGAACACCAGACAGAATGGAGATGCCTTTGGGTTCATCAATCATGTGTAACAACGCTTGGATGGGGAGTTCTCCTGCCAAGGAAGCCTGTGAGAGCAAACTTATGCTGGAAAGAAATGGTTCTTTGCTTGTAACCCTACTCTACTCAGTTGTATGCTGGATGTAGATGAACAAAATGGGAGCTTGGTGTGAATGCAACAGTAAGTCCCAAGGCCTTGTAGCTGCAGCTGACAGTCAACAGGACTTCCACAGCAGGTTCTGTTTCTCACTCTTAGGTCTTACTTTTTTTTTTTTTTTTTTTTTTTTTGGTGGAACTGGGGATTGAACTCAGACCCTTGTGCTTGCCAGGGAAACACTTATTCTACTGTGCTATCTCCCCAGCCCTGTTTCTCACTCTTTATTTCCATTGATCTCACAATTTCATGAGACAAGTGTATGTATGTTCATGTGTATGTGTATGTGTGTAACTTAATGGATGTGGAGGAGTATGCACATGTTTCTACATAGAGATATATGTAGTAGTACAAGTGAAGTTTATATATATATACACTTTGTGTATTTTAGGTAAGCTTTGGATGCACTTCATATTTCCATACAAAATTACAGAGATAGATTAGAATATATCAAGTCATGTACAATGGTAAAATCTACAAGTTTGTTGACAGATTAAGAGAAAATGAGACAGTCGGGTCCCAGCAGCAGCTGCGGCGCCTCTTGTCTTCTTCATCTCTTTTTGCAGTCTCTCTTTCGCTTCCGGAAACATGGCCTCTGGTGTGGCTGTCTCTGATGGTGTCATCAAGGTATTCAATGACATGAAGGTGTGCAAGTCCTCAACACCAGAGGAAGTGAAGAAGTGCAAGAAGGCGGTGCTTTTTTGCCTGAGTGAGGACAAGAAGAACATCATCCTGGGGGAGGGCAAGGAGATTCTGGTGGGGGATGTGGGCCAGACTGTGGACGACCCCTATGCTACCTTTGTCAAGATGCTGCCAGACAAGGACTGTCACTATGCCCTCTATGATGCAACCTATGAGACCAAGGAGAGCAAGAAGGAAGATCTGGTGTTTATCTTTTGGGCCCCTGAGTGTGCACCCCTTAAGAGCAAAATGATCTATGCCAGTTCCAAGGATGCCATCAAAA